GGGGCAATATGCTGACTCTGTAAACCGCTTAGAGAGGGCTGAAAGCCCTATGAAGCGGTATATAAGTCTAACTGCTATTGCTATTGCTATTGTTGCAGATATTTCACTCCCCAACTAGGTCACATCATCAGTGTTAGAAGGGAATGGGATTTGTGGAGAGGAGGACTGTGGGGTCCTTGGTGCTCTCTGAGCTTGATGGTTTTCTTGCAGCTATTTCACTCCCCAACTAGGTCACATCATCAGTGCTGGAAGCAACCCTCCTTCCCTTTGAGCACTGATGACGTTACCTAGCTGGGTAATGAAACGTCTGTGAAAAAACAACCCAGCTCAGGGAAAACCAAGCTCAACCGCAGCAGGCTCAGGAGCCCCCCCAATGGTGCCCTGGCACGGGCGAGCCTCTAGTAAATCGCACACCAAGGGTGCCATTCTGGAAAAACCAGTACATGTTCTTGTGGAAGAGTGGCACAGACCGGGATTAAGGACAGGGTGGGGTGTTTGCTTTTACCCCTGGCACTAAGCCAGTCTCCGGGTTCATTGTTTAGGCTTAGCATGAGAATCCAACGATGGTGGCTTCCCATCACTGAAGTTGTACGGGCATCAACAATGCCGATTGGGACTTTTATGGTGAACCAGAGGTTGAGCTGATGGGAAGGACCACTTTTTAACAGAACGATAACAGAGCTGGAAGGGACCTTGGAGGTCTTCTAGTCCAGCCCCCTGCTCAGGCAGGAAACCCTGTATCAGTGTTGGCAAACCTTTTCAGCACTGAGTCCCCAAACCGGAATGCACGGGCATGCTCATGTGCTGCAGTACCGAAAACCCAAAGACCAGTGGCCGGTGTGCACATGCCTGGGTTTATTGGCCGCTTTTGGCGATTTTTCAGGCCACTTTTGGGCCTGAAAACAACCCAAAAACCAGTCTGAAAAACGGCGCGAAAAATGGCCTGAAAACAGCCTGAAAAATGGCCTGTTTTGGGGGGCATTTTTCAGGGCGTTTCTGGCATGCCGGAAACCAGAAGAAGAGCTGACAATGGCGCATGTGCCCACAGAGGGGTTCACCATCACAGCCCTCTACCATTTCAGGCTTTGATGCAAAACACCCACTGAATTGGAAGGAAGGAAGGAAAGAGCCAAGTGTTGAAAATTGTCATGTTCCTTTTGCTGAGTCAAGTGCTGGAGCTGGTGGCAGACTCGAATGATGAGGAGGTTGGGGAGGAACGTGGGCTGGTGCTGGAGTCTGGGGAAGGTCTGATAGATGCTCTGCGTCGGACGCAGAGATAGAGCCATCCAACATTTCCCAGCTGTCGGAGAGGCAGCTGCCTTTGGAGGCTGATATGAGTGAGAGGGAAGAGCAGCTGGGTCCTGTTCCAGTGAAGGTATGCACAGAGCAGTTAGGAGAGGTGAACAATGGAGGACAAGGAGTCGACTCAGGAAGCAAAGCACACGTGGACACTGAATGGCCCCTCCCTGGCTGGGGAATAAATAGAAGGAAAGGGGAGTTGGTGGCCGTAGGAGACAACAGTTCGTATTTCTGAAGGTTTTGCTCATTGTGTTTCATGCATCAAAGACTGCTTGCCAGAACTTAATTTGCAGCCTTTCGTCTGGGAGCTCATGGCCCTGCAATTATCCTACTGAATTGATAAGGTTTGTACTGCAGTTAGCTCCTTGCAGGAGTCTCTTGCTTGGACTTTTCAGTGGGTGAATGCCATTGATTCACAAGAGGTAAATAAAGAGGGGGTTTTTTTCATGACAAGAAGTCTGTTTCTTGTTTCTGCTAAGGCTGGGTCAGAACACCACCTCTGTGTAACATGCTCATGCGTTTTTATTCGAAGGGCTTGGAGGAAAGACAGCAGCTGGTTGTCCTCTGTTCCCCACCCCCTCATTGCGGCTCCTACTTGGGGGAGGCAAAACCATGCAAGATCTCCAGAGGGAGAGGGAAGATGATGGTGGAATTCTTCTCGGCGGCGATGGTGGTCAGCGTTTGCAGGTAGCGGAGCTGGAGGGCGGCGGGGTTCTCGCAGATGATCGCGGCGGCCTTTTGCAGAGCCCGTGAGGCGTTCACTTCGCCCTCTGCTGCGATCACCTGGAAGGCAGGTTTGTTTAATTGGCAGCACCGATTTCGCTATAACTGCTATGTTGAACCAGCCACGATCGGCTTAGGTTCGACAACCAGCATGGTGTGGGCGAGCCCCCATGGCTGGTTGAGCTGAAACCCCTCAGCTTATTAGGTACAAATTTGTAAATCTGAATGAATATCCTCTCTCTTCTGTTCTCCCATAACCAGAGGGGGGGGGAAGGTGTACCCAACTGGGAAATGGGCTCCATGCCTTTTCCTAACCCCCCCCCAAAAAAGCCCAAATAAGCATCATTTCCCACCTTAGCCCTTGCTTCTCGAGTGGCTTCGGCTTCTGCTGCCATGGCTCTATGAAGCTGGAAAGGTAACTTCACATCCTTGATCTCCACAAGCTCCACCTTGATGCCCCAGTTATCCGTGGCCTTGTCCAGGCTGACCTTTAAAAAGAAAAAGAAAGGAAGGAAAGAAAGAAAGGAAAGGGAGAGAAAGAGAAAGAGAAAGAAAGAAAAAGGCAGGAAGGAAAGAATAGGAAGGAAGGAAGGAAGGAAGGAAGGAAGGAAGGAAGGAAGGAAGGAAGGAAGGAAGGAAGGAAGGAAGCCCCGAATCCCTGCCAAAGAAGCCACTGCGGCTGTCACTTTCCCGAACCTGCATATTTTGGGCTATCTCCTCTCGGTCGGAGAGAATCTGAGCCAGGTCCTTGGTTCCCAAGGCATTTCTCAAGGTGGTTTGAGCCAGGAGCCGAGTGGCTGTGTCCACGTTGAGGATGTTTGCGACGGAAAGGATCGCGTCCCAAACCCGGTAATAAACGACGCCATCCACCATGATCGTCACTGAATCTTTGGTAAGAATCTAGCAGAGGACAGCAGCGATGGGAGAAAAAAGCGAAAAGCATTTGCAGATAGTCTTCAATTTATAGACTACCATGGAGTCCAAAATTTATGTTGCCAAGTGAGAAATTTGTTAAGTGAGTTTTGGCCCCATTTTATGACTTTTTATGACTGATAACTGCTGATAACGGGCATATGGCTCTGGCCCCCTCTCTGCCTCCGAAGCAGAGCCCTCGTCCAAGCCTTCCCCAGACTCCAGGACTGGCCCATGTTCCTCTCCAACCTCCTCACTGTCCGATTCTATGGCCAGCTCTGCTGGCCGCTGGCAGGCCACAGCAAGAAGGAATAAGAAGAAGACAGACGCAATAAGAAGACAGAATAATGAGAAGACAGATGCAATAATGAGAAGATGGAAGGAAGAAGAAGATAGAAGGAAGAAGAAGACAGAAGTAATAATGAGAAGACAGATGCAATAATGAGAAAATGGGAGGAGGAAGTAGAAGGAAGAAGACAGAAGTAATAATGAGAAGAAAGACACACTAATGAGAAGATGGAAGGAAGGAGAAGATAGAAGGAAGAAGATGACAGAAGTAATAATAAGACAGACACAATAATGAGAAAATGGGAGGAAGAAGAAGATAGAAGGAAGAAGAAGACAGAAGTAATAATGAGAAGACAGGCGCAATAATGAGAAAATGGGAGGAGAAAGAAGATTGAAGGAAGAAGACAGAAGTAATAATGAGAAGAAAGACGCAATAATAAGAAGATGGGAGGAAGAAGAAGATAGAAGGAAGAAGATGACAGAAGTAATAATGAGAACACAGATGCAATAATGAGAAGATAGAAGGAAGAAGAAGATAGAAGGAAGAAGAAGACAGAAATAATAATGAGAAGAAAGACGCAATAACGAGAAAATGGAAGGAAGGAGATAGAAGGAAGAAGACGACAGAAGTAATAACGAGAAGACAGACACAATAATGAGAAGATGGGAGGAAGAAGAAGATAGAAGGAAGAAGAAGAAGACTGGCCCATGTTCCTCCCCAACCTCCTCATTGTCCGAATCTGCTGCCAGCTCCTCTTTGGGCCACAACAAACTTTGGTGTCATTCAACAAAATAAAATAGATAGATTTGCTTGGGAAGAAGGTGGTGTTCTCGACTTACGACTGTTCATTTCGTCACCAAAGTTACAACGGCACCAAAAAAAGTGGCTTATGACCATTTTTCACACTTAATGACTGTTGCACTGTCCCCAGAGCCACATGCTCAAAATTCAGGTGCTTGGCAATTGGTTCAGACTTATGATGGTTGTAGGGTCCCGGGGTCATGTGATCCCCTTTTGTGACCAGCTGACGAGCAAAGTCCACAGGGACGGACAGCTCGCTTAACGACCGTGTTGCTAACTTAACCGCTGCAGTGATTGACTTAACAACTGTGACAAGACAGGCGATAAAATGGTTGGTTAACAGGTGTCTCACTTAGTAATGGAAATTCTGGTTTCAATTGTGGTCGTAAGTCAAGGACACCCCCCCCCCAGAGTACTTACCTCTTGCGGCGCTATATCAAACGATATCGTTCGCATATCCACTGTGACCGCGTGATCTAGGCGAGGTAAAACAAAATAGACTCCTGTGGGGAAAATATATATATTAGGCTCCTTAGACAGTGAGAAGTTTGAAGAGCAAGTCTGGATATTGCATGGAGGTGGGGTGGAAGGATTATATTTCTTTGCAGTCATGTGGTCGTTTGCACTTTCTCACCATCTCTCTCCATCAACATCTTGTCAGAACTGATGAAGCTTCTTGGATGAGAAGTGAAACATCTTCATTCTCAAGAGAAATCCATCCATCCATCTATCCCTCTCATTCATTCATCCACCAATTTCTCCATCCGTCCACCCATCTGTCCATCCATCCACCCACCTGTCCATCTATCCATTTGTCCATCCATCTCTCTCATTTATTCATTCATCCATCCATCCACCCACCCACCCACCCACCCCCATCCGTCCGTCCATCCATCCATCTATCACCAATTTCTCCATCCATCCCTCTCATTCATTAATCCATCAATTTCTCCATCCATCCC